TGAGATTCTAAAAATACTAGTAAAATATTTAAATAATAAATATTCATTATTTCTTTAAAAAACTCTTGAGATAAAAAGAAATCCAAAAATAAAAAATTATCTTTAAATTTTGTTATTTAGTGAAGTTTTTATAGAGAATAAGATGTTTTTATTTAACTAATATTTATTTGAATCAAAATATAATAACCTCTTTATATAAAATTTCTTCTAATATATACTTTTACAATTATCTGAAAGAGGTTATTTATCTAAAATTTTGTAATGAATATTATTTAACATAATTCTACTAATATAATAAAAATAAGATTATAAATAATACAATAGTAGTTATAAAAGGTATCTTAAGATTTTTATTCTAATACTTATCAGTCTACTTATCTTAATACTTCTACTCTTACTCTAGTATTGATTTGAGAATAGAATCTGTTACAACTAGTTATTATTAGTTTTTTATATCTTCCACAAATATTTATTAATTAAAATTTAAAATTTTAATAATTATATATATACAGTATATAAAAATATATATTTAGTATAAAATTGATATATTCAAAATAATAGTTTAAAATTAAAAGCCATTGATTTATATATCTATTATAAGAAATATATTATAAATAAAATATATATGTTGGTTTATACTTTAAAAATTAATAAAAAAGAAGATGTCATGAATAATTATTTGAATAACACTTGAAAGTATCTTTAAAATTCTTAAGAAGACCTTAGCATAGATAAAATTGTAGAAAAAAAAAAGGGGGGGGGTAAATATTTAAATTTATATACTAACTTTTTAAAAAATTTAGAACGAAAATTCTGAAGTTTTTGATGGAAAAATAGTGTTTCCGACTTTAAAAATATATGACTAATTAGTCTTTTTTACATATTCAATTAATCATCACAAAATTGGAATATTTATTTTTTTAAATAGTAAACATGTTTTTTAAAATTATACTATTACAAAAACAATAAACATGTTTTTTAAAATTATACTATTAAAAATGAATAATTTAAGATATTTATTTATACATATCTTACTTATCATGGTTCTAAAATATATCTAAAATATTGTTAAAAAATTAGAAGAAGATGTTAAAAATATCATTTGTATACAATAATGGTTTTCACATTAGGTAAAAAGGTAGAGACCTTAAAATTTGGAATTGATTCTTTTTGTAATGCTAGTAAAGTAAAAAATAAATTAATTCATTAATTCATTAAAAAAATCTATATCTTTTGCTCAATGTCTTAGAATTAGAATATATATATATATATATATATATATATATATATATTAAAAATTTAAAAACTTAAAATTGCAATAATATCTTAAATCGAGATCAACATCTTAAATGATCTAAATGTTAGCAAAATTTCTGGATAAAATTATGAAAATATATATATATATATATATATATATATATATATATATAATGATTTGATGAAATTTGAATTGAATTTTTGCAAAGGTTAAGATTAGGATATATAATATATGCATAAAAATATTGGAGCTATGTTTAATAATAATCAAGAATATTTATTAAAGATTAAACTAAATTATAAAATTAAAGATCGAGATCTAGATCCACCTATCTACCAAAAATATACTTATGTTTTCTTCTCTAGTATTTGAGTTTTGTATAAGTAAAATTTTGTTCTTTTTGGGAATGGTACTAAGAAATACTAGACCATCCAGTTGGATGTTTTGTTGGACATCTTACATTGTTCTTAACCTTGTGTTTATGGATCAAGTTATGATCTTAATAGTAATTTGTATTTGAATGTATAATTCATCATTCTTTACGAATAAAAAAATATAGTAATTAAATTGAACTTAAAACATTATAATGCAGATGAAATGATATGAGATTCAACAATGGATTAAAATCCATTGAATTTTAATTTTTCATACCAAAACTTGATTCCCAATTTAAATATTTTTGCATCGGATTTAAAAAAACCAAAAACCAAAAATTCCACAATCACACAATGCATTAATTGATAAATATTAGGTCTTCAAAGATCACAACAATAAAACAAAAATATATTCTATCATTGAAGAAACCATGAAAGAACAAAGAACAGTGTGCGAATTTTCCCTTATTTATGAGAGTTGCGAAGTTAAATAATAATAATAATAATAATAATCGTAATAATCATAATAAAAATAAATGGTTCACTTAAAAGCACGTAATTAAAAGAAAAAAGCGGGAAAAAGTAGAAAAGTCGGGAGGTCTTCTAAATCGGGTGAAGTAAAGGATTTGGATGAATCCGAGAGCTTCACACGAAGACATTATTATTCTGATTCAAGGGAAACAGACTTCCCAAGCCAAAACAGAAAGAGCTTTAATTTAGATACCCAGTGCTTCATTTGATAGGAACCCAGCAAAGAGATCCCCCCACCCCCCGACCCCGTGTGCCCCTCGTGACCCCCTACCCCCCTACACCGCCGGCATGTCACCTAAGCCAACGATCGTCCAATCTCCGTCCAACACCGAATACGTCGAAAAAGCCGATGTGGCACACATCTGGGCCCATACGCACACAAAACAACAACAAGACTATGCCGTGCCGTGCTATGCCCGAGCCGTGCTGGGCCGAGTCAGGGCAGGGCAGGAATAATTCCTCGTCATCTCTTCGTAGCAGCAGCGAGAGTGTAGCCTCCCTCCGTCCCGCATGGATGGCTGGCGGGCTGACTGGCTGGCTGCTCATACTGCTTCGCTCGGAATGGAAAGGAACTTACGGAATTCCCGATTCGGTCAATGTGATCAAAATTTCCCAATCCTGCTCGGTCGCTGACTCACCCACTGTATCGCCCTAGTTTCGCCAGCCTCACTCACTGCCTCGCTCGCTCGCTCGCTCGCTCCCAGGGTCGTGTATATCTGGGAGCCCGCATCGCTGCAACATTCGCTCTCATCTATTCGCAATTAGTGGAAGGGTGGCGGTCGAGAAGGTTGGTGGTTTTGGGGACCTATAGATCTTTGTGCCTCTTGCGGGTGTTGGCGTGTGCGGTGTCGTACGATTTGGTCTCTTGGTGGGTGACGAAGATTGGCTGTTTCGCGTTCGTGTAAAAGAGGAGGTGGTTGGTTGTCGTAACAATGGAGGGCTTCGCGCTTCAGCACCAGCATGGAAAGGCCAAGGTGAGAGTCGGGCGGTTGTGGCGGGGCGCGACATCCCAGGAGCACCGCTTCGTGGAGTGGAATGTCTCCGTATCGATTACCTCCTTCGTCCTTCCTGCTTTCACGGATGGTGATAACTCCAAAATTGTCGCCACGGACTCCATCAAGAATACGGTCAGTCTCGCCTCGACGCAATCGGAACTTCTTGCGGTCGAAAGGCTGTTTCTTGTTTTGTGCTTGCTTGTCGGTAGTTGTACGCCTCAGGACCTGATAATTTGCAGATTTCTATTGTTTTCACATAGCCGTAATCGTAAGTTGTGCCAATTTAATGTACGTGATGAGTTGGACCTACGTATACTCGCTCCCAACCGATTGTCTCATAACAATGAGGTATGCGAGATTTGTAGCTGGAGGGAAGAGGGAGTTCTAGTGGAGTTTTCATCGAAATTGCCTCAAACCTGCACTCAAGACATTGTATCAAAAGATTGCTTTCTACCTCCGGACCCCGCTCACTGGCTAGTTTGCACTGGGTTTTACAGTCATTCAGCGATTCGTACTGTTCTTGAGCTTCAATAGCAATTGCGCAATCGAGACCTCCATTTTCGGCTCGGTTATGAAAGTGTTTCTGGTATTATGCAGATTTATTATTTGGCCAAGCAGTGCACAGAGGAGCTTTCATTGGAAGATTTTGGGGTCGTTGTGGGACAGCATTTCCTGCGCACCTATCCCAAGGTATTAGTCGTTGACGATGACAGTAATACGAACTTTCCACGATATTTGTGTTAAGCAGGACGAGTATTTTAATTGGTTGCTTCGCCATATTGGTGCTGCTGAAGATAGGAAACTAGAAATTGGGTGTGTTGGAATATGATTTTTTTCTGAAACCTTGACACAAATTTCTGATGCATTCTGGTATTTTCAACGTGAGTGCTCGGGCGTGGTTTTGATTGAATACCTTAACAGATTGTTACTGGAGCCAAAGTCATACTATCTCAGAAGCCGTGGGAGAGAGTAGTCGTGGATGGAGTTGAGCACAATCATGGTAATGCTTTGAAGATCTATATTGATTTATTCTACTTAAATTGATGGAAATGTTTGGCGGAGATACGCTGGCCGGACTTCAACACGGGCATTGATTCAGTAAACGTTGCTGTATACTTTTTCCATCGATGGAATTTGAAGTGATACAAGTTTGCTGCAGCGCGAGAGTAGCACACTTAGTGAAATTTAAGTTTTAGAGAGACTTACTCCTCACCTATTCTGCGTAATTCACATGTGGTCATAGGTTTTAAGTTGGGCTCTGGTAAACACACCGCGGAAGTCATCATCGGCAGTAACGGATGTGTCAAAGTGACATCTGGAATCACCGATTTGTCGTTATTGAAAACAACTCAGGTATTCAAAGACAAATTTTTGAGGTGTTTTGACTATCGTGCGGTGCTTCACATTGCGGTCTTTCTGAGACTTGACGAAAATTTGCAATTTGTAAATTCTGCAGTCTGGATTTGAAAAGTTTGTCCGCGACCAGTTCACCATATTGCCAGACACAGATGAGCGCATGCTAGCCTCAACCATCACTGGCGTGTGGAGGTATGCATGCATTTCTTCGTTGTTTTTATCATTTTCAACTGCATGTTGATTTTGAATTCTTTCATTCGATTGCGGAAACGTATGCCTCAATGTTGTTTTTACCTAGTTCCCATTGTTTCCTCGAACGTTTTTTTTCTTTTTTTTCTTTTTTGTCTTTTAGAAGATTATCAACGTGAGTTTCCGATCTTTTTCTACCTCTAATGACTTGGGGTGATTTCGTACGCAGTTACTCCGGCAAGCCCGCGAATTACCAGAGGAGTTGGGAAGCGGTGAAAAAAGTACTTATGGACACATTTTTCGGTTCGCCCCCCACTGGTGTGTATAGTCCCTCCGTCCAGCATACTCTGTATCAAATGGCTAAGGCCGTACTAGTCAGGTACGATACCACTGAACATTCAGTATTTCAGATCGTCATTTTTTTTCAATATGTTGCAACGTAACCCAACACATGAATTAAAAAGACTCAAGCAGCTCACTGACATCATCGATGATAAATAAATTCAGAAACGACTAGGTCATTTGAAGCGCTTGCATTCGATTATCTGTATAGATAATCTTACGACAAAAATATATTGTTCAATGAATGAGAAATTCAATTACTTATTATCATTAACAATCCGATTTGTGGCATGCAGGTTTCCAGAGATCGAGAACATACACTTGAACATGCCAAACATCCATTTCCTACCTGTTAACTTACCTACGGTGGGCGTCAAGGTAATCTCAAATTCTGTAGAATTTTCCAATTGGGTTCTCATTTTAGTTCTTGACACCTATACGGAGCTCAAGTATTCCAGATTGCAAAGATTGGCATGGCTCTGTTTCCCCTGATGGTAAAGAATCATGGTCAATGTCAGTGCCAGCATGCGGTCGTTGATATTCATGAACCTGTGTTCCTTTTTTCTTTTTCTTTTTCAAGGGAATGGATCTTTGTGTAGTCATTTCGTCCCTAGCACAAGCCCTTTCTGGAAAACACCGGTGGTCCACTAACTTTCTCCTCGTGCTTGAACTTAAAAAGGCTCACAAGGTTGAGACATCATCATGCAGATCTGTGCTATTCAATGACTAAGCATAACCGGTGAATGTTGTTCTTATGCAGTTCGAGAACGATGTCTTTCTTCCAACCGATGAACCCCATGGTTCGATAGAAGCCAAGCTCTCCCGGATGGAAATTTTCCAGTGCAAGTTATGAAATCGTGAGGTCTCATCGGGTATGGGCTTTACTTGTTCCTCAATCTTTTGAGAGAACCCAACTCTCCACCGTGCTTTACTTATTCCTCCATGTTTAGGGAGAACCCACCTGTTGAATGTTTTTGAGATACGTGCCCTGATTGTAAAGGTTCATGCCAACGCCAGGAATCCTTGAAGGTATCGATGTGCGGATTGAGGAGAAGTTTTGACGTATGCTGCAGGCAAATGAAGTTTTCGCTAATACCTGACAACATCTTGCTTTCTGCAGTCAACCCATAACCAACTGCCTTGTCATGGTCATAGCTTCTCATAGAATACGCAGATGCTTTTAAGCTTTAAAGAGTGATAATAAAACCTGACTTTGGGTTGTATATTTTTAGCAATGGGCTCGTATGAGCTTGTTGAATCTCTTATAATATTCTTTGGTATGCACCAGGAAAAGTAATTTGTCTTTTCGCTGATGGTTGGGTTTGAAGATTGACACTTTTGATATTATGTGCTATTCTACTTGCATTCTTATTATGTTAAAAGGTGTCTCACATGAATCTCAATCCATGGCTTTTGATTTAAGTTTGATTAGAATATGAGGTGTTTATATGTATTCAATTTCAGTTTAAAGATTTCGTCAAATGCTTTTAAATTTTTTGTTGTCAACATGATTAACATATATATACATGTATATATATATGTATTATTCTCTGTGGTTTTAGAAATGAATTATGAATTTATGTCTCTTACATGAACAGTAGTTCATTAAACATGTCTATTATTAAATATATTATAAATAGCTTATTAATATTCATCTTGGGTTAGTTGAAGCAACTGTTAGACTACGACCGTAACCATCTTAGTCTCCACAATAAATGAAAACTACTTAAAGCAATTCATTGGTGTCTTTTCCAGATAATAATATTTTACGGCACTGCAGATATTCATAAGAACATTTATTTCTAAATATAAATAAATTTTGTCTCTTTCAACGACAAGTTATTCTACAGTGATTTTCAAACATTAAAAAACTATCCCTTGCTTATTTTGCCACTAAAATGGCAAATAACAACTTTTTTTTTATGTATTTTCTCCAATTGAGTGACTTTTAAATTTTCAATTAGTAACGAGCAATAATTCCCAATTATTGTGTTGGAACGTTTTAACAAAGTAAGTCAAATTATTGTTATCCCCACTTGTAACTTTTCATCCTCTTCAGTTCAAGTGCTGTTTAGCATTGTAGACTTATAATTACAAATGCTATGTTTTCTTCATTCACATATAACTGGAAAAGACACCAACGAATATATATATATATATATATATATATATATCTCCAGATGTCTACTGTATGCTTTGTTTCAAAACTAGACAGAAGAATTCTATTCAATCAATTGGCTGATTTCATATTATTATAAAAAAATAATAAGATATGAACTAATATGAAATTTTACACTGTCACCTTCAAAAATGTTCTTGTGACATTTATGTATTAGCTCTTTGGGAATATTCGTTAGCAATCGAATGTTTAATTATATTCGTTCAATGATTATTTAATACTCAACAGAACTCTGGGATCAAACCTAAGTTGCTGTGCAATTACATTCTTTTAAGAATATAGTATACTAAAATAATCCTGAATTTTTTTTAAAATAAAATAAAATAGAATAAATTACTTTAAAGTTTCTTCAAATTATCTTTTATATAAAAAAAATTGAGTTGCTGCATAGTTAATGCATATTTTATTTTTTCCATGCATACTTTTAATTTAAAAATGACGTGTGAGTTAAATTTGCATATAAACCTAACTAGTCTTTCAGCAGTCTTTCATTCCGATGCCTTTTTTTAGCAATACCAAACACTAAAATTTAAATTACAAATGTTTTAACACAAATAAGGTAAACTTATATGCTTATTCAAGATTTATTATGTTTGATTATTATTATTATTATTTCAACACCGGTTGACTTTTGTTATTACAATTACAACATTTTTACATTCAAAGGAAATGGTTACATTAACTTTTAAATTTAACCTGGATAATTGAACAAGTATTTTGATAAATTCAAAGTTTGTCTTGTAACTTTCATAAATTTAGAAATAAGAATATATTTTTCATATAAAATAAGATGATAATTTTATCTTGTAATTAAATCAATAATGAATTTATAATATTTTTATCCTTTTGCATAGTTTTGATACAAAACATGGTCGATTTATTAGTAAATAGAAAATACAAATTAATTTGTGAAGTTTTTTCTTATTTCATTTTATGCAACTTCAAAAAATAACACTTTACTAATATAAAATACTTAATCATTAATTATCTTAAAAAATAAAAAGTAAAATCTTAAATTAAGTCTATTAAATTGTGATAATTTTTTGTAGCAAAAATGTAATGTACTAAGTGTGAAATATTTAAGCTCAAGGCTTGTGGTCTTTGTCTCTTGTCATTGCATTGAACTTCACAATGTTTCATAAAACTATCAAACTTATAAGCACCCACTACATTTAAAAATTATAACTGCACAAACTCAAATCAGTTGTTTCCATATAATCGAAAATTTAAATTTGGTTGAATTCTTTACCAACTCTAAAATCTAAAATGTTTGAATTTGCAAAAAGCTAATGACACACTAGATAATAAAATGTTTTATTCATTAATGTTTTGTGAATAAAAACTCTAGAACAATTTAAAATTACCATATTTTTTTGAAAATTAATGAAAATTTTAATAATAAAAATAGTGAGTATGAGAATAATTTAAGGGAAGGAGGAAAAGAATACCCTCACCTAAGAAGTTACACACAACAGTTGAATTATTGGAGGTGAAGAAGAAGCAAGAAGCCCTAAACTTTTGCTTTAACGAAAAAGCACATCCTCTGCCAACGTCCCATCCGCCAACACATCTACGAAGGGGATGAAATGCATCCACAACTTGCTCTATGAGGAGCCGCGGCTTCGTAACCACCGCCTCTGTTAACATTGACGCTGCCGCAGACGACCGCCAATGTATAATCTGCGGAGGATGAAGAGGTCCCGTCAAGTTGCGTCGCGTCGAGTGGCGTCACGTCGCGTCAAGTGGTTTCTTGAAGCAACTCAAGCAAGCACCCGGCTATGGCTATGGCTATGGCCACCTCACCCACAGCACGACGACGACGACGACGACGACGAGCAGGACTTGGCGGGCGTTGCGATGGCCAGAATCACCTCCATTTCCCTGCTGCTCCCTCTTGCAATCCTCAGCTCATTCCTCTTGGTGGCGACATGGTTTCTCTTTTCTCCTGCGTCTGCAGGTGACCTGCAGCGTCGTCTCTCACTTCATGTCTTCGTTTCGTGTTTCACAAGTTGTTGTTGTTGCTGTTGTTGTTGGGTATTGGGTATTGTAAGCTGGATCAAGAGCGGGAGCTTGCATACGTATGTATGGATTTGCATTGCCAATCCCACCCCTCAATGAGCTTGATGTAATTCAGGACAGTTGAGGAGCCAGCGGGGACTGCGCAGTGTAGAGATATTGTGGGATCTGCAACGCCAATTGAGTCAATGTGTGGTTAGATGAATGCTGCTCTTGAACTCTTCAAATTGTAGCAAGTGTCGAAACTAAGATGGGGATTTTTCGGAGTTTTTGGATCGTAGCTTATCAGCCGCGTGGAGGTCATGCTTCCTAACACGTTGGAGGGGGGTGACAGGCTGCAAATGGGTTGGGTTTACGAGCTGAAGTGAAGAATCACTGCCAAACTGTGTTGAAATTTCCGAAAGAAACTAACAGCACATGGGTACATTTCTTGTTGTGCATGACTTTTATTTATAACATTCGTTGTTCAAATCTTTTACTTGGCATGCCCATCGATTCCTTCGTGATATCTCGGTGACTACCTTCAATGATTGCTGCAATCGAAAACAGTGGTATTACTGCGAATAATCTGGTGCAATTGTTTACTGCCCGGAATAATGTAGTGAGTGGAAAAACTTTTTAAGTTGACGTCCGTGCCTGCCTGTCATCGATGATGAGGTGAAAATGGTGTGCACATGACTGGGAATGGTGTTTAGGCAGTTCAACAGACAGTTCAAGGTGTACGAGCCCCTGGAATACTTGTTTAATGTTTGCGACACACTTTTACTTTGGGAACAGGTGGGTAACCATCTTCTCCTGTAATATTGGATAGATTAACAATGAAAAAGTAGTCGATTCCTACAAGTTGGCACATCAAAGACTACACATTAGCATTTTCTATTTTTGGGTGCAGTTCCGCAACATGACTACCATATTGACCAGAGAATACCTCGATGCACGCCCCAATGGCTGGCTGGAGTACGCCCCGACCCGAATTTCGCAATTGTGGGTGAAGCTCCGGAATCCTTCATCTGAATTGCTTGTAGACTGTCCCAAATATGCATCAACATCGTCCTGCTAAGAAGCTACAGAATGGTTTGAAGATCTCAATTATGAAAGAAAATCTTTTTGCATAAGTGATGTAATCTCTAGGTATTTGAAATAATTCGCGAGCAAAAAAATTGTAGACCGTATGACCACATATTCAGGTTCTAATGTGAAGCTATTTCTAATTATTTTTCCAACATACTATATGTTATATGCAGTAATCATTGAGTATCGGTGTGCGAGTTGCGTGCGCAGTGCTGTTGACAGATGCCACAACAAGAGCTCATGCGAAGATGAATTGCAGCTTGTTTTGCCTAATAAGCCTCCCTTCAAACCTCGGCAATTCGCAACTTGTGCAGTTGTGGGAAACTCTGGCGATCTGCTTCTAGCAAAATTTGGATCTGAAATAGATGCACATGAAGTAGTACTCCGAGATAATGAGGCCCCCGTAAACAAGGTAAACACCTCTCGTCTGTTTGTTGCTCAGTAAGCTGATCGTCACATTGAGAGCACTAGCAATCATGACGCACTTCACAGTAAGGCTGTCGTATAGCCTCAAGAGATGACAAAATAATTTTGCAAGAACTTGGTTGATTCTGCTTTGCAGACCTATGATAAACATGTGGGTCGAAAGCGAACTTTTCGTCTGATTGGAGAGGGCGTAGCACGTAACTTACGAGAAGTTGTGAAGGGAAATAGTAAGATTTGTTTCAACTTCATTTGTTCTTCCCTGCTGTTTTGAGAAAAATTTACTTAATGTACGAAACAACAATCGGAGTTGGTAGCAGTATCTGTGAAGAAATTCAAACTGCACTGTTAATCTTACGACCTGAATCATATTTCCGAAACAGCAGAAGAAGTGGTAATAATCAAAAGCAAGATACATAGGGACTTCAATGCCATGATCAAGGTAATGCGAACTAAGATGTCATTGCATCCTATTGAACAAAAGAATTCACTAATTTGGATAACTGAGAACAACGAGTACCATGGATGATCTGGTCACGCAGTTGCTAAATATTTTCCCCGTAAATTTGGATTAGGAAATCCCAAATCCCGTTTATCTTTTCCAAGGTGTAGAATTCCGACGAGGTGCGAAGGGCACAGGAATAAAGTCTATAGAGCTGGCCGTCTCTATGTGCGATGTAGTGGACATCTACGGTTTCACCGTCGACCCGGGTTATGCAGACTGGTTAGTTATTAAATGTCAATATTCCACCAACACTTGTCAGGGTTTATTGTCAATGGCCTGGTACTTCTCACTCACTAATCCATCTCTTCTACTCCTGTGCAGGACCAGATACTTCTCCGCGCCTCGTAGAGGACATAATCCTCTACAAGGACGAGCTTACTATCAGCTCCTAGAATGCCTTGGTGTAAGTTTGCTAACATCCTCCTTACGCTTGACAGTTACAACAGTTCGCCCAGTTCCCGGAGTTTTCATGGACCAAAGCAACAACAAAACTGTGACAATTCGCTCTCTGCAGATTTTGAAAATTCATTCACCGATGCGAGAGAAAAGCAAACAGAATTGTTCTGTCATTCCAAGTCGAGAAGCGCTGTCGGCGGCCCGAGTAGCTGCCTTCCAACTGAAAAGAATTCGACAGAGTGATGAGCCGGGTCCTTTCAGTGCCTGTGGTGTGTGGGCTGCTGCAACTAAAACCGAGCCTTTCACTGGTACACTCCTATCCACTGCAACTTTTTATTCGACCAGTTGTTTACAAGAAGTATCAGATAAACGATGGCCGTCGATATCAGAGCATGCTACTTGTGAACTCAAGAAGGCAACAAAAAACTACTTTTGTGCTTGCAGGTGCATCAGATATGAGCACCATCAGAAGAACCTCCAACTACAAGAAGTGGGAGCTGCTTCGCATTACTGATCTGCGAAACCAAGCTCAGAAGTATCAAATCGATGTAGGTGGTGTCTCGTTCTACAAGATTGATGGTAACAAGCTGGATAGCTTGTTGTGCGTGAGACACTAAGTAGCATGCTTTCCGCACAGCTGCTCAAAGTCACAACCAATTTAAACCAAGACCACTCGGCTGAATATGTCACATCTAACTCAAAACAATTACTCTTGCTCAGCTTGTGACTTAATGCCCACAGTGTTTCTGTAAAAGAAGCTCCACACAATGTTTGTTGGCATTAGAATACTTCATAATCGTACAAATGTACACGCTCTGGAATCTACTCGTCGATAGCTAAATTTCAGCCTCTACTGTCATGCGAAGAATCTAACCCCAATCATCTCAAAAGTATAATCAAGTATTGAGCACCGTAAGGCCATGGCCATTGGCAATTGTAGTCCCCTAGTCTTTTCCTCTCCCTTCTCAAGGACAACGACGACATCCGAGAGGCAGAGGAGTGTCGTCAATGATTATATGCCTTCACCTCCAAAGGCCTATCTTCAGGCAAAACCCGCTGCAAAATCCGGTACCGCCAAGTGCTCGACAAGATCCACGATTGACTTGGGCTTGATTGGGTTGAAGGAGATCTAACGTGCAAGCACAGTGAAGGGTTTAAGATTTCAGGTTAGGAGACTTATAGGATTTGTCAGTCGTTGCATTCAACGAAAAAGAAAAAGAAAACAAAATATATGATTCACTCCAAGTAAGGGTGCATTCGGGCTAATCGGATGTCTGTCAACAACAGCCGTGTGAAGAACGCCGTCTCTTCCGGATTGGCAACCCACAAGATGGAGCATTGGGAGCGAGTAGCCATGTCGTTCCCGCTCATCGTAAAACGGTCTCCGACATGCAGGGTCACATGAGGTCTCTTGTTCAAAAACTTCATCAGAGCTCTGAGACCTACAGATTTGTTGCCGACATCAACAAAGACGTCGTTTCCACCATTGAAAGCGCAGAACGGAAGCCTTGATCCCATCAACTGGACTTGTACTGTCAGAGCCAACTCTTCCAAGACTTCGTAAATAGTTGGCTCCAGAGGAACTGCACCGACAGCCCTCGGCTTGCGAACTATCTCAATTGGAACGCGTAATCTCGCAGCTGCAGACCGTAAGGAGCATTCGGCGTCGTCCAGCAACTCCTGCACATCGGAATCTGACCACTGGAGCATGTCGGGCGACATCCACAAGTCATCCGGTACAAATTCAAGTCTGTAATCCTCGTTAACTCTCAGAAGATAGTTGCATTCTCCGCCCATGACGTGGAACAACCGCGTGATAGTAGGAGGAAGATGAAGATGCTTGAATGCTTCCAGGAGCCCCGCCAACCGATCCTCGAATTTGGCAGCATTGCCGGGATATCCAGCAGCCGTGACTATTGCCACTTGAACACCCTGTTGCATGAGCTTTATAATGTGCCCTATCATCTTGTTGTCTCCCTCAATGTGGTGGCCATCAGCGTATATCGTCCCATCTGCATCGAACGTGATCAACGACAGCTTTTCGGCAATGGCGTGTACCTGGGCAATGTTGAGAACATGCCGAATTTCTGCAAAATTGGGCGGGACGTATCGCCGTCGGGACAACGATGCAAACTCATCGTACTCGTAAAACGCACGAACAAGAGGTAACGGCGTGTGAAATCTTCCAAGGGTGGGGATGAGTCTGCTGAGCGTGCTCCGCATCGGATCCTCCAGATGCTCCCGCACCCATCGCTCCAGTTTTTCCATCACTTGAATTGGGGAATGCGTGGAATGCATGGAGATGATGAATTCAATCAAACCGTCTTGCTCTTTCAGCCGCCCTTTTCTGCGCAAGACGTGTGCGTCTGTGACACTTGAGGCTCTGTTGAGATGCGCATCCTCCAAGGCTTCCGTGCTGAGCAGCATGTTCCATCGCATTCCCCCTTTGCTCTCCGCTTGTTGTAAATTAATCCCTGTCCCAACACCATCCGGCATTCCTAACGCCTTCAAGAGTTTTCCATTTTCCCCTCTTTTTCTGGAAGCTTCCTCTGGCTTAGATTCAGTGGATACTGCATCAGAATTCTTCAATCCCTCTCCTCCACTGCCATTACTTCCGGAGAGGGAATCGAAAAGAACACGCTCCGCCGTGTCACTGCCAGGTGCTGGACTTTGCGAATCTTCACCAAGCTCCAATCCGAAGTTTTCGTGAGTAGCAACGACAGCATTCCGCTTCTCCAAAATAAGCCTCACGGCAGCACGACCGCAATGCAACAAGAAACTTGGCTTCGAAATCTTTGAAACGCGTAGCGTTTCTCCTATCCCCACAATGGACCTCGCACACCCCAACGGCGGCACCTCACGAGAGATAAATTTCACAACTCTACCATCGAAACCCCTAGATAAACCCCCACCCTGTTCGACAACCACCCGGTTGAAGGCCAAACTCCCGATACTCGCATGCACCCCAAGCTGCGAGAACAAAGCACTCTGCCTCTGAGGTGGAGCGACGCATGACAGCCTTGCCCCGCCCACAGCTGCGGGCGGCGCCATGCCGGATCTTCAACCCGCACCAGTCCAACCCACTCCCGAAGTGCTCAACTCAGCAACAGGACGAAGAAGGAGCGAACGACCACGACTAGGCAAGACCACGCTGCTCAAGCCTTCCAACCACAAAACAGGAGTTGCAAACGGATGGCACAGCACGCAAACTGACGAAAACGGAGCAGCGGAGGGAGTATGCACGCGATGAATGGAAGGGGCGTAATAATCCACTAATGCGTTACGACAACTCAACCACACTGCTCTCCCACGCTCTGCCTCACCTCGTTCTCGCATGCGCCAATTGTAACGTCCAGAATTCCGCCTGCAAATTGTCTGAATACTTCGAGAAATCGCACCAGGACGTGACGGTGCCACAAACAAACAATCCAAGCACGGAGCGAGGCGGTGACGACCAGGTTTATCCTGCCTCCGTGGCTTCGTAGCTTCGAGATTAGCTGCGAAAGGAAAGACGATGCCGGGCTCATTCGTTCCTCGTCTATGTGAGCATCAAACCCTAATTTGGCGGTTGAGGTCTCGTTAGTTACCAGACTGGCTTCACCATTTAGCCCTAATTGTCGCTGTAGAGCTCTCATTCGCGTTACTTGGCTCCGCATGGTGATTCTGACTTCGATTCTTACTTGGATTCCTATCAAATTTGTTATTTACCATATATATATATATATATATATATATAAATGTATGATTTTGTTGATAGATGATAGCTATGTTGATAACAAGTGAACATACATTTATGGTTATGGTTTTATCCATTATTTGTGATATCAAAAATTAATTCAGATAGCATGTGCTGTTATTTTGATATCACCCTTGACAGGTGCAAAAAATCAATGTTAGATTGGATAATAAATGGCTCAATTTGTGAGATTTTTTCTTTATATTCAATGTGCTAAAATCAAGTTTTTTTTTAAATTAATATTCCATTGAATTATTCTCCTGTGAAAATTCCATCTTTTTGTTCATTAGGAATGGATAAACTTATATTTACAAATTTTAAATACATATATAATACATTGATTTATGTCTAATTAATATATTATGTTTACCAAATGGTGTTTAAATTCTCCAAGGATGAAAATCTTTTTCTTCATGATTCAATTCTCAACAACAAAGGCTCTTTTTTTAAAAAATATTTGTTTTATCTATAGACTATAAATTTGAACTAGTCTATTATCTAATGCTTGAAAATTTCCAAGAAATTATTAGCTTTTAGTTGGATCTAAGAAGTTGTAGCACTTTCTTATGTTGATTATCAAGTTAAACTAAATCAATAATATGTAATCTAAACAATCTTGTCATTAATAGGACTACCTATCTAAAGACTCCTTATATCTTTGTTATTCTACATTAAAAAAAGAAGAAGATGGCTCTTAGATGTACTAATTTATATTTAATATAACCATAGATTCAAAATCATGTCTAATAAGTGCAATACTTAGTGCTTGATTTAAAGGATATACATAATTTTTTTTTTATTTATTATTTTATTTTTTTTTATTTTTTAATTAATTTTAAAATTGAAAGACAATTTTGAGTCATCAAAACTACATACTTGTAGTTTTAGACTAAGAATTGTATTTGAGATACCAAAAAACACAATCGTTAGATGAAATTAGTATGAAATATTTTAGATGAGAAGAAGTTAGTATTAATTATAGAAAAAATTATTAATAGAAAATTTTGCATAAAATTCATGGATAGTTATATTTTCTTTAGATAAATTTTTTTATCTTATTATTAATATTATTCTTTAAAAAATATTAAATTAATCTATTTTTTACTAAATTGATCTATCTTATTATAACCATTATTAGAAAAATAAATAATCTCCAAACACCATTGTTAGAATTATGATCCTCATTTCAATCCTTCAAGTTATCAACTCCTACTCCTTTTATTTCCAACCTTCATCACAATCCCTTTGTTTCTAGTCTCTATTCTTTCCATTCTCAACTCTCATTTTGATCCCTTATTTCTCTTGTTCGTAATCTTCATCCTAACTCCTTCAATTCTTAGCCCTTTCTTTTAGTCCCTATCACTATTACCAACCTTCTTATCCAAATTTTGAGTACACTTATATTAAATAAGAGCATCTCAACAATATATTGTATAATAAGTCTAATTTAGTTAATACAACTATATCTTTAGAAAAAACTTATAAAAGTATGATATATTTTATTATCAATATTTAAGATTAAAGTAGCTAGACTAGTATCAAGGACATGAATCTTAAAAGACTAAAAGATCAATACACTCTTTTGTCACTCAAAAAGATTAGAAAATATTTCAAAGATGGTATAATATTGAATTGGAATGGCTATTGCTAAAGATAAGATGATTAAAAAGTCTTCAAATAAGAATAAGGACTTGGAAGGCATTGAAAAGAGTAAAGAAGGCTTTATTCTTATCTCCATATATACTATCTAATTAGAAGCTATGTGCCAATATTATATAAGACTTCTACTATGTGTCCAACTTGTAAGATTTTTGTTTTAACTTACGAGGCAAGTTTTCTATATGAACACCATATAGTTAGCTTGTATTAAAAACTACCAATATATGTGATATGTGACTAATTTGTTGGCAAAAAATTTAGCCTATTAATCAATAATAAACATATGTAAAGTCAAGGCCACATCTATGAAGCTTTTAAGAAGCTTCTCTATAAGATATTATCAAATTTATCTACTTTAATCTACTTCTAATTATTTATAATTTTTTGGTAATTATTGGCATAAATATATATATATATATATATATATATATATATATCCATAATATTATCCCCCCTTCTTTTTTAGGGATAAGTTTCATAAGGAGTGTTGATCATATGATGAAGTTCAAGATGTAATGAATTATATTTATTACATACTTTGATCTTTATTTTCTTTGAAGGTAATTAATAAGTCCTCTTAGCTATTAATAATATCCCAATTCAAGGCAAAAATACCACTATATTATTTAATCATTGTTAAGGCTATTATAACGACCTTCAAATAAAAAATTTGTAACACCATTAAGAGACGTTTCTATCTCCAATAAAATCACCAAATATTGAGAGTTTCTTCCAAATAAGGTTATAATATCAAATTTGTTATATTTCACTATCTATTTAATAAAAAAGATGTCGTTCTTGAAGATCTTTATCTCTATTACATTGTCTTAAAGGCTATAATAATTGCAATGTCTTATTTGATAAGTCACCAAATGATAGCTCTTAAGTTGAAATTGTTGGTTGTTAATTCTCTTTTATGCTTTTGGTATTTTTCATCTTGATTTTAATAGATGTCATTGATAAAAAATATCAATATTTTTTTCTAAATTTGCTAAATTCTTTATTGGCTTCCATATACATTCACTAATATCATATATGTAGCAATGAATAAGATATTCCAACCTATTTTGGTATCGCTTTAAGTCTAAGACTTCTTCCACTTCAAATTCTTAATTATTAATTACTTCTATAAGAAGAAGTAGCATTTGTCTTTTTCTTAAGATATTTATTATCATACATGGTTCAAAAAGAAACATATAAAATATAAGATGAATCTTCATAGATTCTATTAGATGTTATCAATAAGCAATTAGATTGATTTTTTTACAAATAAGAAATAGTCTAAGCAAATAATAATCTAATTTGTTATTAGAGTGGCTAATATTGACATCGCAATGAAGTATCCATATATTATTACTAATGTAGAATTGAAATTATTCTTTAAGATAAACATCCATATTGGTCTTTTGTAATTTTTGAGTTTCTTTTAATTGTACCTTCATTTTTGCATGTAGCTCAAATAAATGATTTTTTAAATCTTATTTTATAGGATTATTAACTTTTAAAAAGTCAAAAGTATCAAGTTATAACTATAATTAGTAAAAAAAGATATTCATTATGTAAAAAAATATATCATATTATCATAAATAAACTTTCTTAATAGCAAAAGAATTATCTAATCATCTTATTGATAGTTGATAGTATACTTGAAATACTACTTTAAAATTTGATTTACTTCCTTTATTTTATTAAAATAAATAAATAAAAGTTAAAATAGAATAAGATAACTTATTAAAGATATTACTTTAGATAAGTTGCTAATGGTCAAAGAATTGATTCTTGATATATAAAAAAGGTATTTTATAGATATAAGATAAGGTCAAGGATCAAGAATCAAAGTCAAGAAGATAAAGCATCAACTAAAAAATATTCAAAGACTAGATAAGAATAATTAGTATTTGGCATAAGATACCTTCTTTGTTAGTGATATGCTAAAGGGTTCTAAGACCATAAAATATCCTTGTGGTTAGTTAGATGCCAAAAGATATTAGAACTATGTATATAAAAGTATCAAGAATTAAAACTTATTGAAAGCAAATAAATAAGTGAGAGTTTTTTAAAGAAATATAACAAAATAAAAATAAAGAAGTATGTATATTAAAAAAAAACTTAGAATGGTTATTGCCAAAAGACAAGAAAATTAGAGATTCTAAAAACTACACTAAAAGCAAAAAAAGAATTGACAAGAATGAAGAAGGCTTTATTCCTGCCTCTATATATATAATCTACCTAGAAGCTATATAGTGATATTCTATAGGATCTCCAAAATATGTTGACTTTACACAACACGTATCTTAACTTAGAAGATAAATTTGCTATATGGATGCCATATAGTTGATTTTTTTTGCAATCTACTAACATGTGTGGTATGTGGTTAACTTATTGAACAAGTTTCTAATCTATTAATTAACTATAAATACATGTAAAGTCAAAGTAATATCTATGAAGCTTTTAAAAAGATTTTTTAAAAGATATTATAAAATTAATCTATTTTTATCTATTTCTATCTATTCATATTATTTAGATAATAATTAAAATAAATATATGTTTGTGACATTACTCCTCCTTCTAGAGACAAGTTCCATAAAGAGCGATGATCACATATTGAAAAAGTTTGATCTACAACAAATTATATTTGCTATATACTCTAATTTTTGTTTCCTTTGAAGATAGTTGATAGGTCCTCTCATC